ACCTGTGGGGACCTCGGTTGGAGCTGGAGCCGTGGGGAAAGAGAGACCGAGTCAATGGGGCTAAGGGGGCCACAGCAGCCTGGGTTCAAATTCCAGCTCTGCTCGGTTCGTGCTGTGTGGCCGTGGCCAAGTTGCTGCTCCTCTCTGAACCTCCATTTCCTCATCTGTAGCATGGTCACCTGGCGGGAGGGCCCAGCTCTACGGCACACAGGCCACCACAATTATTTACTTATTCATGTATTGAGTTGGGGTCTCACTCTGCCGCCCAGGCTGCAGTGCAGGGGCACGATCACAGCTCACCACAGCCTGGACCGCCTGGGCTTAGGCGGTCCTTCCTCAGCCTCCCGAGTCGCTGGGACGACAGGCGCACCCCACCACGCCTGGCCAGTAATTTTATTTTTGTGTACAGATGGGATCTCCCTATGTTGCCCGGGCTCATCTCGAACCCCCGGGCTCGAGCGATCCTCCCCCCTTGGCCTCCCAAAGTGCCGGGATGGCAGGCGTGAGCCACGGCCCGGGCATGGCAATGATTCAGTGTTCTTGTTGTTCCAGGCTCAGTGAGGCGGGTGTGGGGGTAAGGCACGGACACCATTGGCCTGGGGCAGACCCGGCTTCGGGAACCTTTAAAGTCCCTGCAGCGCGCGTGGGGGGGGGGCAGCTGAGAACACTGAGACAGGCTGAAAGAACGTCCTTTTACTTTGGTTCCAGTAAACCCCTTCATGCATTCATCCGTGCACCCATCCACTCATTCATTCAGCCCATCAAATACTGGCTGAGCACTGACTCCCTGCCAGCACCCCGGTCTCGGGGGGGCGAGGCTGGGAGCCCCAGGGGGAGCCGCGCGTGGATGCATGCATGCATCCACCCCGCGACGGCTTCAGGGACTCCTGAAGGGCACGGGCATCTTCTCACGTGGGCGCCTCGTGCTCGCGGGGAGGGAGGTTTCTCCAAGGAGCCGCCGGCCAGATCCAAGCCCCAAAGCCGGCTCGCCGGAGCTCCTTGCCCCAGCGCTTATCAGGAGCCAGGCGCTTAGACTACAGGCTCCCTCGGAATCCTCGAGGAGGATTCCAACCTCAAGGCAGCGAAGCCTGCTCTCCTCCTGTGACAGGCCAGGAAACCGAGGCCCCAAGAGGTGAGACGCCCCGCCCAAGGAGCAGACGGGTCAGGGCGACCGGGAAGCAGGGCCAAGCCCCTCACCGGGCAGGCACTTGGGTCCTCTGCACGGACAGGGACGACCTCACAGGCCCCGCCCGTTGCGCTAAATCTGCCTGGTAACCGGTGACATCACAACCCCACGCTCAACCAGTGGGATCACCGAGGGCGTCACTGAACGAACTGAGTGATGGCCGTGGGCTGAGGGCCTCCTGGATGTCGCGGCTGTGCTCGGCCGTCCCTCCTCTGAGCTCAGACGAGGCCCAGGGTTGCCTCTGCTTCTGTGCATAACAATTTTAATTTTGGGGGGGCTCAGATGTTTTGAATGCAGGCTAGAGCCAGGCTCCGTTTTCATTGCTTACCTTCCCACACTCCCTGTTTTAAAAATCTTAGCTGGGTGTGGTGGCTCACACCTGTAATCCCAGCAACTCAGGAGGCTGAGGCGGGAGGATTGCTTGAGCCCAGGAGTTGGAAATTACACTGAGCTATGATTGAGACACTGCGCTCCAGCCCGGGGACAGAGGGTGAACTGATCTCTTTCAAAAAATGAAATAAAATAAATAAAAGCACCCTATGGTCTTGGTTTTCTCATCTGTCAACTGGGCAGACAAAGAGGAGCTAACAAAAAAGGCCTCTGAGCCGGGCTCAGTGGCTCAGCCTGTCATCCCGCACCTGTGGGAGGCTGAGGTGAGTGGATTGCTTGAGCCCGCGGGTTCGAGACCCGCCTGGGCAGCGAGACCTCATCTCTACGATAAATCAAAAAATCAGCCGGGCGTGGTAGCGCATGCCTGTAATTCCGGCTACTCGGAAGGCTGAGGCGGAAGGATCGCCGGAGCCCAGCAGGTCGAGGCTGCAGTGGCCGGGAGCGGCCACTGCACTCCAGTCTGGGTGACAGAGTGAGACTCCAACTCAAAAAAACAAAAAAATTGGGGCCAGGAGTGGTGGCCCCAGCACTTTGGGAGGCTGAGGCGGGAGGATTGCTTGAGCCCAAGAGTTTGAGACAAGTCTGGGCAACATAGCGAGACTACCATCTCTTACCAAAAAAAAAAAAAAAAGATTAAATTATCCAGGTGTGGTAGCAGCTACTCAGGAGGTTGTAGTCCCAGTTACTCAGGAGGCTGAGGTGGGAAGATTGCCTGAACCCAGGAGTTCGAGGCTACAGTGAGCTATGATCATACCTCTGCCCTCCAGCCTGGGTGACAGAGTGAGACCCCGACTCAAAATAAAGAAATATATAGCCGGGCTCGGTGGCTCAGCCTGTAATCTCGCGCCTTGGGAGGCTGAGGTGAATGGACTGCCTGAGCCCGCGGGTTCAAGACCCGCCTGGGCAACTTGGGGAGACCTCGTCTGTACAATAAATTGAAAAATTTGCCAGGTGTGATGGTTCATGCCTGTAGTTCCAGCTACCTGGAAGGCTGAGATGGAAGGATCACCTGAGCTCAACAGGTTGATGCTGCAGTGGCCGTGAGCGTGCCCGCTGCACTCCAGCCTAGGTGACAGAATAAGACTCCAACTCAAAAAAAAAAAAGACATCTCAGTTTGGAAAGTTTTTTGTTTTGTTTTGTTTTTCAGTCAGGATCTCACTCTGTCACCCAGGCTGGAATGCCGTGGTCCAACCACTACTCACCAAAGCCTCGAGCTCCTGGGCTCAGGCAATCCTCCCACTTCAACCTCTGGAGTAGCTGGGACTACAGGCGCACACCACCATGCCTGGCCAACCTTTCTACTTTTTGTAGAGATGAAGTCCCACTATGTTGCCCAGGCTACTCTCAAATTCCTGGGCCCAAGCAATCCTCCCGCCTCAGCCTCCCAAAGTGCTGAGATTACAGGTGCAAGCCACCGTGCTCAGCCTCACTTTGGAAGTTTTGACTCACCTGTCTGACTACATGAACACACCGCAGGGGTTTAAGAAACACAGCTCAAGTGAGCTGGGGTCTCGAAGGTGGCCTCTGTCACTCTTGTCGCTGCCTAGGCGTGATCAGGGCGCCTGTCATCTTTGGCCTCAGTTTCCCTGTTTGTAAAATGGGGGTGGTGACTCAGCGTCTCCCTCAAGGGTTGGGGTGAAAAGTCAATGCAGGGAAAGTGCTCAGTCCCACACAGCAGATGTAAGGCGCCTGATGTCCTGCCAGCTGTGTGGCTTTGGGCAAGTTACTCCACCTCTCTGTGCCTCACTCTCCTCATCCATAAAACGGGGATGACAGCCATTTGTGAGCACTGGTTTAGGGGTTTATGGAGCCATCCCCACTCGGCAGATGCGGAAGTCAGGCTCCAGAAAAAGTCCTGGTCCCTCATGGCGTCTCCCTCCCCACAGCCAGAAGTTGCCGGGCGAATACTTCAGGTACAAGGGCATCCCCTTCCCCATCGGCCTGTACTCGCCCGAGAGCATCAGCTTCGCAGAGAACGCCCCGGACGTGCGGGACGACGACATCTTTATCATCACCTACCCCAAGTCAGGTACCAGTGGGGCGGGGGGGGGATGGGATGGTGGGCTGTGTCTGTCCAGAACCTGGGCAGGCCTCTCCCCCTGTGGGAAGCCCCTTCCCCCAGACGTGCACGGGCCTAACCCCTCCCCCCTCGCGGCTGGGGGCCTCCCTGGACCTCCCTGGCCTGTCCCTGTGGCCTTCACCCTCCATTTCTCTCCATGGCGTGGGTTGCCGCTGGCCACTGTGTCGTCCGTGTGTGTGTTCCATTTTTCCTCTGGTTTCCCCTCTAGAATGTGACCTCGTAAGGGCAGGTGCTTCCTCCCGTCTCAGAGCTGCGGGTTCCAGAGGCTAGAACAGTGTCTGGCTTTGAGCGTTTAATATTTGTAGACGGCAGAACGGAAGGAGGGAGGAGGAAGAAGGGAAGGAAGGAAAGAGGGAGGGGGGGTTTTCTTTCCTTTTCTTTTTTTTGAGTGGGAGTCTCACTCTGTCGCCCAGACTGGAGTGCAGTGGCCACTCCCGGCCACCGCAGCCTCAACCCGCTGGGCTCCTGAGATCCTTCCGCCTCAGCCTTCCAAGTAGCTGGAACTACAGGCACACGCTACCATGCCTGGCTAATTTTTGATTTATTGTAGAGATGAGGGCTTGCCAAGTTGCCCAGGCGGGTCTCGAACCCGCAGGCTCAGGCAATCCACTCACCTCAGCCTCCCAAAGGTGTGGGATTACAGGCTGAGCCACTGAGCCCGGCTATTTTTCTGTATCTTAAACCTCTCTCTTCCCTGGGACATTGCTCTAGGAAAATTTGAGGGGCCTTTTGGTTCAGTGGACTGTCCTCATTAGCAGAAAATGCTTTCCTGCCTCAAAACATATGCTTGTAAACCGTGCTTACATACCCTAGTGGGAAGCTCACTCTTCCAGGTGTTTGAACTTTAGCTCTGCATCTTTCAGGCTGTGTGATCTTGGGCCAGTGACCTAACCTCCCTGAGACTTGGCTTTCTCAGCTATGAAGTGGGAGAATAAAATTTACCTCTCTTGTGAATGTTGATGAAGATTAGATAAGACAATATAGATGAAACACCAGACATGGTTTCTGGTTCCAAGAAAGAACGTAGCATCACAATTCCTATTCCTGTGTTGGAGTGAGTCCTTGTCTTGCATATGGGCTTGGATGAGACCACCAGCTTTTCCAACTCAGACTTTGTAATCCTAAAACAGTTATGTTGGACCAACAATAATAGATTTTTCTGTCTTGGATAAATTTAGAGCAGCAGAAAATGCAAAAGAGACAAAGACTCCAGGATGTATCATGAAGAAGTTTTATTCTTTCTGTTGTTAATACATTCCTGATAGCCACTTGTTTCCTGGTTATTTGCCTCTTTGGCTCTGATTGGCCGGATTCCAGTACATTGAGTTTTTTACTGCACTTGGAAGCTATGTTATGAAGACCTTGAAGTCTCCACAAAAATGAAAACTTCCTTTTCTTCCCCTTTCTCCCCAGACTGTGGTGGCCAAAATGCTCCCTAGATTTGGAGGACTACTCTACTTTCAGAGGTTCTGCAGTGACGATTCCATCACCCTCTGTGGTCCCAGAACTTGGAGTATTTTGGCATCTAAACTGGAATGCGCTCCCTGGCCACTCACACTGAGAAGCGGTCCAGAA